AGAAGCAACTGACCGAATCATCTATGCAGTGTGGCTCTATTTATTCAGAGTTCAAAAACATGGAAAATATTGGTAATATATTCATTAAAATCTAACTTAAAAAAATACATGTAGGGCTGGCGTTGTGACTCAGTGGTAGAGCACTTGCCTAGCGTGTGTGAGGTACTGGGTTTGATTCTCAGCACTGCATATAAATAAATAAAGTTCATTGACAATAAGATATTTCTTAAAATATATGTCTAAAATTTTTACTTTATAAAGAAAGAAACCGTGCAACAATTTTTTTGGCAGGAATTGAACTCAGGGGCACTGGACACTGAGCCACATCCCCAGCCCTATTTTGTATTTTATTTAGAGACAGGGTCTCACTGAGTTACTTAGCACCTTGCTTTTGTGGAGGCTGGCTTTGAACTTGTGATCCTCCTGTCGAAGCCTCCTGAGCCGCTGGGATTACAGGAATGTGCCACGGCACCCAACCTGTGCAACAGAAATAAAAGTCCTTGCCTCCTCTAAGCTCTAGCAATTAAAATTGTGTGGTATTGGGGCAGAAAGTGGCAAATACCTGCACAATTTAGGACAAATGGGTGTCAAAGTGACACTTGTGGGCCGGAGGGTGGCTCAGTTGTAGAGTGCTTGCCTAGCATGTGCAAGGCTCTGGGATCCATCCCTAGTACTGAAAGAAGAAAAAGTGACCCATATCACTTTTTAATCTGGAGGTTTAATTTCTGCGTGGAATTTCAAAGCAGCAGGAAATACTTTTCAATAAGTGGTAGTGGGATGGTTGGCTATCCACCTAGAACATGGCAGAGTGAACCCCCACTTCTTCTGAAACACACAGCATTTAACCCAAACCATAGCAGCACTGGAGACGCCGAAGTGTTTAGAATCCCAGAGTAACAAATGCCTTTCTTAGGCCAGACGTACAATCCTTGGAGGAAAAGCCTAACAGATTTTTAAATTATGGCACAATCAAGGACATAAAAATGTTAAATGACATTCTGGAAGGAAATACTTGTAATCTTTAAACAGTCAAGTGTCTATGAAGGGATGCTTGCAAACTGTCAGAAAACTGTCGTGAAAACCGAACAGAGGACTCGGGTGCAGCTCAGTGCTGGAGCACTTGCCGAGCTCAGTGGTTAAGTATCCCTGGGTTCAAACAAGCCCAGGTTTGTGCCTTGGTTCACACGATGGTGAAAGGGACCAACACCGCTGTGCAGACCCATGAATATTCCTGAGCAGGGGAAGGCAGACTACCTGTGTGGTTCTGCTTAGGGAAGGTTTCATTCCCAGCACTACAAGAAAACAAGCCCAAAACAAACCAGACTGAATAGAAAAGTGGGTAAAACCTGTGATGACAAGTAGTTCTGAAAGAATAAGCTGAATGGACCCTGAACATGAGTGGCAAGATGGCTGTGTGTGGGATAGGTGAGCATGTGGGAGAAGACCAGTCCTTCTTCTGGCTTTTCAAAGAATCCATTTGTGATTATTGTCCACTGTTTTTTCTTATTCACTAATCTACCGTAATTCCATCTTTAAACTTTCAGTAAATTTCTTTTCTTCTTTTTCTAGCTTCTCAAGTGACTTGCTTGGCCATTGCTGAACTTTTTTCTAATGATGCATTTAAAGGTATAGAGTGCCTTCAGAGGACATTTTTGGCCACCCTTCATGGGTTTTGGTGTGTCCTCCTCTCATTGTTCATTTCTAATAAATTTACATCTCAACCTTGATTTTCTTTTTCACTCTGGGGTCAATTAGAAGGGTGTTTTGGAATGTCTGTGTCCATAGGAGTGGCCTGTGTTTGTTTTCTGCAGAGATTGACGCAGGGGTGCTCTACCCCTGAGCTACACCTCCAGCCCTTTCAATTTTTCATTTTGGAAAAGGGTCAAAGTTGCCCCGATTGGCCTTGAACTTGGTAACCTCCTGCCTTAGCTTCCCAAGTCACTGGGATTGCAGGCATGCACCATTGTGCCTGGCTTATTAGTAATTTTTAATTATACTGTGTTGTAGTCACAGATTTGTTGTGGCATCTGTAGTGTGTGGGAGGACCTGCTTTGCTTGTGGCCTACATCATGACCGACTCTGTGACTGTCCCATACATTCGGCAGACGTGAGTTTTCTGATTGTCCTGTCAGGTGGCTCTGCCTGTAGGGCAGCCGTCCCCTGGGCTGTAGGAGCCTGCACCCTGGGCTGCTGCCTTTCCAGTTCTCAGCTTTGGGTTCTGTTGCTCTCCCGCTGGGGAAGCTAAGGCCTGAGCAACCCACTCCCAGCACCACACTTTTCTGCCCTCTGCCCTCAGATCACACCTGTCAGCTGCCACCACTGGCCCTGTAGTGATAGTGAGCATTGTCCACACCCTTCTTGTTCCTCCCCACTTCTTCCCTTCCTGCCTCCTCTTTTCTATTTTCTGTGAACTGATGATCAGTCCTTTCCCAAATTCACAACACATCTCTGCAGGTCCTCTCACAGAGGATGGGCAGTGACCCTCGTCAGGTCCTGGCTGTCACCCTCTGTCTTCCTCAGCAGCCCATGTGCTGGCCCTGCTTTCTCTGTTTGCCTGTTGACTCCAGAGCACACCACCCAGCAGCTTCCCCCAGTGGGGCTCATAGGGTGCTGAAGGTCTCAGGTGAGCTCCATTACTCAGCTCCACACTGGATGGTGCTTGATTGGTGGCGTGTTTGGTGGGAGAGGCTCTTCCTGCAGGACTCTTAAGTGCCCCATCACCTCTGGTTTCCAGGGCTGCTGTGTGATGCCCTGAACTTTTGGACTTCGGATCTTTGTGCCCTGTTTGTGTTTGTTTTTGTTTTGTGGTGCAGGGGATCAAACCCAGGGCCTGAAACACGTAGGCAAGAGCTGCATAGGCTGTGCTCCCAGCCCTGTGCTTCGTTTCTTCCCTGAAAGCTTCTCTGCCTGTCAGAGTTCTGGAATGTACTCTGGGGAGGCATTTATTTTCATTGCCCTGGGTGGGGGCTTTCTGACTGGGGCCTTTTCCTTTAGTTTCTGGGAAAAGCACATGTGTGCATGTTGTGTGAGTTCATTTTCTCTCTCTTCAAGGTTTGTTAGTTGTATGTTGGCCCAACAGGAATAGTTCTTCATCTTCCTTTTTATAAATGTTTTCTGTATCTTATTTTCAGTCCTGCATTAGTCAGCATTGATGCTCTGTAACAAGCAGCTCCATAATTCTAATGATGCATAGTGAACTTCCATTTTGTTTTCTGCTCGTGGACCTGAACAGCAGGGTTGTGTGTCTTCTGCATTCCCCTCTTGGTGCTCCTCCTAGGGCCTGCTGTTCTCAGGCTCCTGGAAGAAACACAGAAGGCCAGCCCACTTCACACAAGCATATTTTGAGAATATACCCCTTCTGGGAGTAACATCATCAGGGCAGGAAGAGAAACTCTAGGGGAAGCACTGAGAGACCACATGTTAAAGGGGAGGTGTACAATTCAATTACAGAAACAGGGCTAAGAATAGATACAACAGCCAGATTCAGTGGTACAGGCCCCTGCTCAGGAGGCTAAGGCAGAAGGATCACAAGTACCAGGTCAGCCTTAGCAATTTAGCAAGACCCCATCTCAAAACAAACAAACAAAAACACTGGAATGTAACTCAGTGGTAAAGCATCCCTAAGTTCAGTCCCTAGTACCAAAACAAACACCAGGGCTGTGGACATAGCTCAGCTGGTAGAGTGCTGGCCTTGAATGCACTGATGCCTCAGGTTCCATCCCCAGCACCACAAAAAACAGAGGGACCCTCCCATGGAGTGTTTCATGTGGAAGAACCAGTCTTGTCCTCTGAGTGGCCCTTCTCCATACCCTCCTGCCCTTGCTCATGGGTCTGTCTGCTTCCCAGGACGGCAGTGTCAGTAGGGACCTGTGCTTGGTTGTTCCTGGGAGGCCCGGCCCTGTTTCCCAAAGCAATGCTTGTGCAGATGCTATGTGCTTGGCAAAGCTCGTCCCTGGAGGGTTCACCTTGGCATAATGGAGCTGGGGGCTCTCCTCTCTCTCTTTTTTTTTTGGTACTGGGATTGAACCCAGGGTGCTTAACCACTGAACCACATCCCCATCCCTTTTTATTTTGAGACTGAGGGTCTCCTCAGTTGCTTAGGGCCTTGCTAGTTTCTGAGGGCCTTACTAAGTAGCTGAGGCATGCGCCACCACGCCCAGCAAGTTTCCTAGTCTCTTGAGTCTGAATAATGTTCCCTTGTGTGGTTGGCCCCTTGTCTCTTTTACATCCCTTGATGGATACTTGGGTTTCCATGTTTCGACTACTGAAAACAATGCTATGGATGGAGTTGTGCACACACCTGTCCAGTCCCTGCTTTTCATTCCATGGACATGTGCCTACTGCAGAGCGGCTGGCACGGTGTTGTTGAGGTTTGATTTTCTGAGTAGGGCTTTGCAGGGCTGTGTTGCCTGCTGTCTTCAGCGTGGCACCCCTCCCCTTTCCAGAAGGTGAGAAGATGCCCCTCCACCCATGGGGCAGACAGCCTGCCCACTGTGCCCACTGGGAAGCTGGGGACATGCTGCTGGCCTCTCCCTGCAGGTGTGCCTGGCCTTTTCCTGGCCCTCTTGCTGGTCACCACCTCCAGTCTCCTGCGCACATGGATGGCCTTCCTGCACTGTACCTCTCCTCCTCCTGTGCATTCATGAACAGCATCACCCCACCTCACCCCGCATATCACCTTAGAGGGGACTGGGGGGGTGTATGGGGTCTGTCTCTCAAGTCCAGCGTTTCTGGGAGGTGCACAACAGGCCAACTGACCGTCTCTGGCCCAGCCTGGGCCCCTGTAGTAATTGTGCCCAGGGTCCTGGAGGCCATTTCTAGCTCTAAACATTGCAGCCCTCACTGTAAGCCTAGGAACAGACACTGGAACTTGGGAGGTGCCCAGGGTGCCACATGCCACCACCCACTGGGAGCGAGGAGGCTAAGTGAGCTCACTGTGTGCAGGGGAAGGGGAGCGGAGGCCCCATGTGTGCCCGCACCATTCTGTCCTGTCCCCACAGGTGTGTGAGCCACAGGAGCACAGGCGCCCACGCCGCCACTGGAGCATCAGCATCGATGAGCGCCGGCGGCTGGCCATGCTGGGCACCCCCTCCCAAGACAGGGTGTGTGGTGGGCGGGGAGGCTGCCCTGTCCCTGGCCTCATCTGCCCAGTCCCTGTGCCTCCCTGCCCACACAGCCTCTGACACCAATGTTGCCCGCAGGCCATCACGCAAATGGTGGCAGAGCTGGTGTCTGAGGACGTGGACAAGGACGTGCTCCTCGCACAGCCACCCAGGTCTGCTGAGTCCACTAATGCCTTCTACGACTTCCTGGCCCGGAGCACGCCCTTCTGGCAGAGTGCGACTTTGAAGAGCCAAGCCTCGGGGTCTCCCGGCTCCTAGGAGCTCTCAGACCTCAGCTTTCCAGAGCTTCTCCGTGGGGAGGTTTTGGGGGAGACCTCTGTGTCCTTGTGTCTCACCAGGGAGAAAACAGGCCTCAAAGCACTGCCTGCCTGGTGCCCTGGGGCTGCTGGGAGGTGTGGCAGCTGCCGGGGAGGGGTCCTGCCCCAGCCTCCACCACCTGGAGGGTGAGGGGCAGAGGGTCCTGCCAGCAGATGGAGGCCTGCCTTACGCTGCCAGGAGGAAGTTCTGGGGCACCTGGGCAGCTGGGTGCCAGGCGACTCACCCTGGGGCTGACAGCACCTCCGGAGCCTTGGTCCTACCTTTGAAGGCCCAGACAGGATTCCAGGACCCAGCAGTGATGCGGGGTGGGGGTGGGGCAGCTGGGTGAGGCACACAGAGGGAGGCTTCCTGAGGAAGAGAGCTCCCAGTTCTGGAAGTGAACCTGGGGGTGGACTAGGGTGCATAGAGGGTCTGGGGTGGCCTTGAGAAGCTGGCTGGACAAGTGGCCCCAGGCCTTAGGCTGGAGCCATAACTGCCTGGTCTCAAGGCGTGGGACTGCAGAAGGGTTCTAAGCCAGGGTGACAATCCAGGCTGCATTTTGAGGCGATGGAGCTGGAGGGGCCTGGGGGTGGGAGATAGGGAAAGGAGGGAGGGTTCCCAGCCCTGCTGGCTGGCAGGACGGAGTGTGAGGAGGTGGCCCTGGACTCAGTGACTGACTTAAGGGTTGCTTGGGCTTCTGCAGGGGCAGGGCTGGTGAGGGGCTTTGGGTTGAGAGGAGGTGACAGCCACCTGGACCGTGCACAAATTGGCAAACAGGCAGTGCTGTCCCAGAGCCCAGGCTGAGGTGCAGATCTGGCCATATGGTGCCTGCTGCCCTTGAACATTCCTCCTGCTTCTCTGCCTCCCTCACTGTAAGATGCAGTGAAAGTTCCTCTTCCTTCAGGAAGCCTACCTACATCACCCAGCTGGGTACTCCCTTTCCAGTTCAATGTAATTTTGTCCCATTTGTTGGTCAGGATCCCCAGGATGGGTGGAGGGCAGGCCATGGAGCCACAGGGACTGGTGGAGGGGATCTAAGAGGTGGGGTTCAGACAGGGTCCTGGGGAAGGGGAACATCATAATCCCTCCCCCTCCTGAGGCCCCTGACAAAGATGTGGGAGTTGGGGTGCTCTGGGCCAGGGAAACACACAAGAGTCATCCCAGGGCAGAGTGGGAGCTAAGTGCCAACAGTCACCACAGAGGTCGCATGCTGTGTAGTTCTGAGTGACTTTAGAAGATTCCGTGTTATTTTCACTCATGGCTGGGGGCTGACTGGGCTCATCCTACCAATTCTGGTCTCACCTGGGGAGTCTCCTGAGGCTGCAGCCAGGTGAGATGCTGACTTCATAGGGTTCCTGCAGAGCTCCTACCCACCACAGCAGCATAAGCTGAAGTCTTGGGGTCTTGGGACTGAGCTGACCCATGTGGGTTCATCTGCCACCTCCTAGTGGTTGACATGGCCACAGAGCCAGCCCTGTTCAGTGGAAATGAGACCCATCTGGCAGTGGGGATCAGCGTTGAAAGCACTCCCTCTCCAGGACAGTGAGGTGCCAGGGAAGATGGCAGTGCCTGGGGGCAGTGTGTTTACCACACCTGGGAAGAAGAGGCCATGTATCAGTTTCCTACTGCTGCTGTAACAGATTATCATAGATAAGTGTTTTATGGTGCATGCCTGTAATCCCAGCAACTGGGGAGGCCGAGGCAGGAGGATCTCAAGTTCCAGGCCAGCCTCACCAATTTAGGCACCAAGAAACTTAGCAAGACTCAGAAAGTAAAAGGGCTGGGGATGTGGCTCAGTGGTTAAGCACCCCTGGGTTCAATCCCTGGTGTGTCTGCCCCTCTCTCTCTCTCTCACACACACACACAAACACAAAAGACAGGATATGGGCCTTTAGGAAGGAGCCTGATGTCTCCCTCAGGGTACTCTGGTGGCCATTGGGCAGTGGCCAGGGTGCTGCTTGAGGTTTGCCAGTGCACAGGGGTGGCCCGGCTGGGAAATCCAAGAATACAGGAAGGTCTGGGGAGTCAGGGGCTCACTTGAGAGAGATCTACCTTGGGGTGAGTGGGAGTTCACAGCAACAGGGGGCTTTCGTCCTAGGATAAACAGGTCTTGGGACACCAGTCAAGGGGAGGCTGGAGAGCCTGGAAGGATTCGAGGAGGGAAGGATCCAAGGAACAGTGCACATGGACGCAGCCAAAGTCCCCAGCCGCAGTGCGGTTAGGTCTGGCTCTAGTCACTGCAACACCATGCTTCTAGACTGCTTTCACTTCTGCTTGGCCACCAGGTCAGTTCCTGTCTTTACCCGGGACTCACGTGAGTGTATCCCGCCCCCCGGAGACCCCGGCGGCTGAGCGCCTGCGCGCTTCTGGAGCAGGACAGACACCCAGAACGGAGCCGCGGGCGCGCGCGCGCACAAACGGTCTTCAAGCGCATGCTCGCTCAGCCTTGGCCGCGGAATCTCTGCGTCCCCAACACCCTTCTCGGCTTGTGACTGGCTGACTCCGGATGGGGAGCAGCGGCCCCCTCTGTTCACCTGAAGCCGAAGGGGCCTCGCGCTGGCGGCCCATCCGGGGGGAGCTGACCCTACGCAGCGCGCAGGACCGGTCGGGGTGCCTGGGAGATGTAGTTTGCAGCTTTGCTGAGTGCCTACACAATGCCACCACTGCCCCCGTTTAAAAGAAATGACTTTATTGGCTTTGCAAATACTTGTCCGTGATTAAACAGTGCAACAAAGAATATGTTTTTTAAAACTCGCTCACAATTCGATCACTGAAATGACCGCAGTTAACTTTCCAGGAGGGTTATTGCAGCTGTTTCTAGATTACTACGAGATGGAAGGGTATATGGAAATACAGAAACCACTGAGACATCTTTAAATACTTAATATTTTAAGATAGAAAAACTATTGCTGAAATCACACGACTGCTTCTCACTCTCGAGAATAATTTATTAAATTATTCTTAAATTATTTTTAGGAATGAAGAATCATTAGGAAAGGGTGTCCTGTTTTTCAGCAGCATGGTTTAATTAGACCGTACTAGCTGATGTCTGGCTTTGAGTGGTGAGGACCCTGCTGAGACTCCCCACCTCTTCTGCCTGCCCTGTCGGGTCCATGCTGGCCAGAGTCTTGGTATTTTTAACCCACCCTGAGCCTGGTCACATTCTCTGTACTCTGATGCCTGCAGTGAGTTCACCACCAGAACCAGACCACTCAAGTTCCTTCTTTTGATTTAGGTCTTTTATTGGCTAGACTTAAGGTCAAGGTTGTGTATGTGTACTGGGGATTGAAATCGAGTGCTTTACCAATGAGCTATATCTCCAGCCATTTTTATTTGTCATTTTGAGACAGTGTCTCACTAAGTCATTGAGGCCTCAAACTTGTGATTCTCCTGCCTCAGCCTCCCAAGTAGCTAGGATTACAATTGTGTGCCACTGAACATGGCTTTAAATTTTTAAAGAAAAAAATCTTTTCTTTTTTAGTACTGGGGATGGAACCCAAGGCCTTACACATGTTGGGCAAGTGCTCTACCACTGAGCTACATCTCTAGTTCTTTTTATTTTGGGACATGTCTTGCAAAATTGCCTGGGCTCATTTTGAATTTGTGATCCTCCTGAGTAGCATTTCTCATATTGATGTCTGTACTTGCATGAACAATTGGAGAAAGAATTCTTGTGTTCTACTTTATTTTCCTAAGGACTATGTCTTCAAACTTTGAAAATGCTTCTGGGAAAAACAGAGGCAAATATGATTTTTTTGTCCTTGTTGGTGATACACTTTTCCTAGGGGAAGGGGGTTCCATTAATTGTTGAAGTTTAGTGACAGGCAAGACAAATAACAGGTCTAAGTGTGATTCATGACACTCTGATTTTCTGGAACATGCTGTGGCCTTTCCTGAGAAGGCTCTGCTGTTATTCCAAGGAGACTTTCTTTCAGGCTCTTTGAAACTCATCTACCTCCAGAACCCAGTGCTTTGTGCAGCCTCAGGGATCCTTCTGAGCAATGATCAGATAACAGAAGCAAAGGCCAAATCCCCCAGGCCCCAAAGGATCCTGCACAGGGATGTGTCCCCTGCCAAGTGTCCTCTGGGCCCCTGCCCACCTGCATAGATTCTCCTTTGCTGACTCCTGAGTTGAAGAGTGCCCCTCTCTGTCCTGATCCTGAATCTGTACCCTCACCATTTTGTCTCAAAAACACTTATCACAAGACATTATATACCACATGTCCCCAGCCTGCTGCTAGACTGTCAGCTCTCCAGAGCTGAGACTTTATGTCCTTACCCTCCAGCACTGAGAGTGGTCTGCAGCTTAAAAGTATGTATTCAGAAAATAACAGCTGAGTCAGTTGCTTTAACTGCTTGACTTGCCCTGAAATGACCTGGAAATGTTATTCCCTTAGCAATCTGATGTTCTACCCTGACTGCTTCTGACTTACTCTACTGAGGTGTGATGTGAACCCTTCTTATGTTCCTTGGCTCTTAAATCTTCCTCGCATTGTGCTGTCTGGTCAGCAGATCTGGGCTCCTCTTTGTTGGACCTGGTTACTCATTAGGGTCCTAATATGTAGAGCACTCCTGTGCTGGGTCCCCAACTTTCAGGTGCACTTTCTGCTCTGCCAGGTTTTCCACCTACCTGATCCTCCTTCCCTCTAATGTTTCTGTTGAATTTCCTCACATGTCAGCAGGCCCCTTCCTGAGCCAGCATGCCTGCTCTCTGCACAAGCCACTCTCCTCGCTTGAATGTCTATTTGCTTTGCTACCAGATGTTTTAATTCTTTAGTCCTGAGATCTTCTGGCTGTCTCTGAGCTAGGTTGAGGGCAGGCAATTGTCCATTCTCCTTTCATCTGGAGAGAGGAAGGCAGAGTGAGCTGGCCTGCAGCAGCTGGACTCTGTGCCTCTTCTGAGGCTTCCTAAGCATCATTCTGCTTTGTGAGGAGTGTGTCTTAGGCCTGGTGGGGCTGGTTTGGAATTCATTTGGGTACCTCCTGAGAAATGGGCCCTGAGCTCTGACGGTCATGTTTTTCTTGTCCACCCCCACACTAGGAGAGGGAAATCATATTCCTCAGCAGGCACCTGTAGGATGTGATTGTTTTATTGAAGCCTGTCCTGTTTGGGATGGAGGCAAATGCAGAAGTACGGAGTGTGACGTTTCCATGTTCTCTCCATGGCTGACAGCTGCTTAGGCATTGTTGGGTAATTCTAACTTTTTTGGTCTGTTATTCTGGAATTGGTAGAAGGAAATCTTATGCTATGGAAGAGTGTGAGGCATAGGCCTGTGGGGAGGGAGGGAGACCCCCATCCCATCTTATCCTTTTTTGGAGACACAGCCTGTGGATCATCACCTGCCCTCTTATACCTATGCTTCTCTTTCACTCTGCACATCAATCACCATCAAACACAAAAGGAAGCACCTTGGGGTCCTGAACCCCTCCACTCTCCCTGGGAGCCCTTCACAGCAAGCTCTGGTAGTTCCAACTCCATTCTTAGCACACAACTGTGGCAGAACCCCTCTTGGACCCTTCCTGGCTTTGGTCTCAGCACTCCTATTGGTTTCCCGCCTAGACTCCCAGCATCATGCAGGGAAACTGTGTGTGCTGGGAGATTGCAGTGCACTGGCCTGGGCCACCTGCCCAAATCCTGCATGGTGGCCCAGGGCTCTCTTCTGAGAGACACCCTGTACTTCCCAGGGTGTCCCATAGGGTTGCCCTTCAAACTGAACGTGGTCTCCCTGCAGCCACAGACCTTCACTGTCCAGGTAACCTGGGCAGCACCACAGGGTTCCTTAGACCAACCTCCAGCCCCCAGATACCTGCCTCACCTCCCCCACATGGTTTGGAAGGATCCATGATTATTGTCGTTTGGGACCACCTCCTGTCTTCAGCCCTTGGGGGTGGAATCTGGGCAATATACTCTCCTCAAGCTTTAGTAATGCTCAAAAATCAACACAGCTGAGAATTCTGAGATGAGCTGGAAAGTGTGAGGTGCCCCTCTGCCTTCAGAGGAACTGCCCCCAGGCACTCTATCCTTGCTGGGGTTCAGCCTCATCTGGGGCCTGCAGCAGGGGGTCCTAGGCACAAGACCCTTCCTTCCTTTGGACTTTTCACCAGGCCACAGTTTGGGAAGGCCTCCCTAGCTCAGGAACATGCCCCTGGGGGGCCGGAAAACAGTTACTGAAGTCCAGAGATGGCCTTAGGGGCTGGAAGATGAACAGCAGGACACAAACCCCCTGATATTGGGTGGCAGAGTTAGACCTGGGAGTAAAGTGC